AACTTATTTAGCACATTAGTAATAAAAGCTGTGATGATGGAGAGGGGAACCCCTGTCATATATGACTTCTTAAGGCAGGCAAGTTGAACAGCTGTAGTCTCCATCAGCACTTTCAGACCAACATCTCTGAGAAATCACTTGTAGAAAATTTAACCAGCTTTTTGCTTAATTTTTCATTAATTTTTAATCTCATTGTAGACACTGATAGTTAACAATATCACCTGCAGCAGTAATACTGATCCATGTAACACCGATTACTGCAGAATAAATACTTTTATTTTTGATATATTACATAGAATTTGCCAAAAAATAAATGCAGTTTTATGTTTAATGAAGTGTTCGCAAAGTATTTTAAACATAAAACAATGATTCTAAAAAAAAAAAAAAAACACTTGTCATTTTGAGCTAATAATAAATAGTTAGCTAACTGTAGTAAGTAATAACATTTAACAATTCTACTGCCAGAAAGAAGTGCAGAGAGGTGAAGATGTTTGAAACTGGTCAAAATTCTCTTGTTAAAGACTAAAGTAAATAAATGAAGAGTTTCTAGACAGTTTACAATATTTTCCAAAGACAGTTTTCTCATAGTTGATGCACTGAGCTGATCTGCAGGCAGGATTATGGAAATGGGTAGAAGGTTTTAGGAAATCCAAATAACTGAATGTTAAAAGAATTTAACCAGACTTTCTTACCAAAGTTTAGCTTCATCTTAGTGAGGACAGTGGCCACAACACCATTCAGAATTTTAGAATTAGGATTTCCTGCAATTAGATCATTGATTGAGATACAAATTTTAGAAAATGTAGGAGAAAAAAAAATCCACACTTGCTTAAAAACAGTCATGCTTTTCAGTCATATGTAGTTCACTAATATTATACCAGCGTGCACAGAAAAAGTCACCCAGAGGCACAAAAGGAATGATCAGAATGACATCATCAGAATCCACAGCCTTCAGGCAAAGTGTGAGGACAGCTCAGGGAGCCTCGGGTATGGCGAGTTTCCATTCCTACACCTGAAATGATCAGTGGCAAAGCTGTAAGAGCGACAAATGTACAGCACATCTTTAAAAATGACAACTCTTCACTCTTGTTTAATATCTTGTGCCAACAAATATCATTAAAATTTTCCACGTGAGATCATTTAAATTTACTTTACTTCTTTTTGTCTTCATCGTCTTCATCGTCTTCTTTGTCCTTGAAAATGAGACCTCCTAGCCATTTCAGTCCTGCTCCTGCAGCAGCTCCAACACTGCCCACAGCCGCAGTGGCAGCCCCCGACAGCCCGGCTGCACCTTTGGGAGGAATGAGGAAAAATATTCCAAGTCAAGCAGCTGAGATTGCCTATAACTTTATCAGGAATCAGACTAACTGTACTGACTGCTACCTAATTGTGGCATCACTGCCCCCTCAGTGGTGTCAGATTTCATAAACTAAACAATGTCCTATGGCTTGTACACTAATACACGGTTCTTGATTCTCAAAACAGCCCCAGTTCTTTGCGGCATGGATTCAAAACTATTGGCAAACTTATCAGAACTGGGTCAGTGTTGACATAACTGCAACATGTCCTTTCTGTGGCTCTGCCAGCTGCACACTCATGTTCAAGTCCCTTTTAACCTCCTAAGACCCGAACTCTTTCATGGCATGCATTTTTCATTTTTCTTTGCTATTTGGGTTGATTGGGACCTGATGAATTTAAAAACAAAGAATTACCAGATTTTTTTTTTTTTTTACCGAATTTTTGTTTCTGAGAAAAATGAGATCCACATATGAGGACATTCATTTTAAATTTTGATAGAACAGTGGCAGTATAATGTCCTCGAAAGCAGATATCAGGCCCTTGTAGAGCAAGATTTAGTATTTTGGTCCAGACATCCCAAAATGTGATGTCTGTATATGTGGACAATACTCAGTGCAAGGGCAATAAAACTACACTTTATAATAAAAGAGTTCAAAGTGTGGCAGGATTATAGTCCTTAGTCTAATCGCACCACAAGCTTAGTCCTGTAACACAACACAGGCTGGAACAATTAACTGATCTTATTGACACTAAGGCGTCTCCATTTAAGTCTGTAAATAGACTTTAAGCTGAATCATTTGTAAATATGTTACCAGTCATTTGTATTTCAGTCCCTGAGTAGCCAGAGTTTTACGAGCCATATACTGGTCACCACCAACAGGAGCAAAGGTCACCTTTGCTTTGGTTCCTAATAAAGTGAATGTGTACAGCACTATTAATGAGACTACAGTAAAGTCAGACAAGCCTACCTGCTGACTGTAAAACAGCCACCATGCCTCCTGCTGCCACTCCGCCTCCATTAGCCACCGCAGCAGCAGACATCATGCTTGCAGCGTAGGAGCCTGCAGCTATTCCAGCTGAGGTGAAACCTACGGCCCCCAGAGCAACAGGAGCCAAGGCCACTGCACCGACTGCACATGGACGAGAACACCAGCATCAGTGTGACTGTTACAAATGATATGCCATGTAAAAAGTTTTTATATAAGCAGAGGCCTGAGGTACGAGGCAGGATTACATCTTATCCTGGGCTCGCTTTACATGTTAAAATAAGGTTGCTGGTATCTTTCAGTTATCTGGATTTGATCCAGATAAGTGGTCACATGAAGCTGTTATCAAAGAAACTGAGTGTATCCAGGGTTCACCCTGCTCGCTCACGTAAAAGGGCTGGTGCTGTTGGGAAGTGTAAGCGTGCTGGCAGCTCAAGGGCTGATTTTACAAAGAAAGAAAACTATACTAAAAATATGAAGAGGTTAAAAACATTATACAGATACTGAACACAGCAGAGTGTGTGAGAGGGAAAAAAGTACTTTACAGTAGTTTAGTATTAAAAGTGCTGTATGAATGTTTGTGCCCTCTGAGCACTTTGGACAGCATGACTGGAAAATACACATTATATGAATAAAGTCTGGCCTATTTGAAGCCAGGAAAAGTTAAAAGATTCAATATCACAGTTCTGTCTGTGAGGCACAGGAGAACCTGATGATTATAATCAAGGTCAGCAAGTACAAGTTTCTGTTCTGTTTCACAATCATGTATTATTGCAACAATAATAATGTAATTTTTCCTGTTGGAAGCAATAAGGTTGTATCTAAAGATCTACATTTATTAATGACATCAGGGGAAAAACGAACACAAAAACATTAGATCCTCCTACTGTCCACTCACAGAGGTCTGAGGGACTTTCTATGAACAGTGACCCTATTGTCTGGATGATGTATTGGTCAGTAGGTGGTGATTTCATGCATACCGATCTCTACATTTCATTTGAGAGCATAAGTTATAATGGCGCACACAGGGTTCAAGTTATGATTAACGATCAGCAGGTATGAAACAACGCCTGCTAACTACTCAGTTTTCTGAAAATAGCGTCACTATTCGTAGAAGATCCCCCAGACCTCGCAGTGCAGACAGTAGGACGGACTAAAGTTTTTCAAAACTCTAAAGTTTTGGTGCTTTCCCTGAGGAGCATCAGTAATAAATCTATATTCTTACACTTCACTTTATTCCTTAACATTTTTCTTTTCCCTGTTGGTGGTAAATTGTTTACATGCTGCCAAAATCCATCCTTGCGTCAGCCCCAATCAAGCCCTGGGTTAGCTTATCAAGCCGACAGCCAGCTTTGTGTGACCGCTTCTCCTGACTGCAGGGTAGTGGATCAACATAACAGAGAGATACCGTGGGTAGGTTGAAGCCCGGTGACCACACAGACCGTCCAAAGCCTTACCTGCTCCCCCTGCAACAGCAGCGATCGTCCCTGAAACACAACATCAAAGCTCACATCAGCACTGACATTTGCTATCATCATGGCACCGTCACACCATTAAACACATGAGTATAGTTATTTTAAAGCAATACGTGTATTAAAATACTCACCAAAACCCATGTTTACAGAGTTCCGCTTTCTCCGTTGCTCTTGTGGCACTGCTTCCATGACCCTAACACTGACACGGTCAGAGCGGCACACTTACTGTTTTTATAGGTCACGAATGAAAAACAAAACTTAACATTTCCATTTCATCAAAGGACAAAACGAAAATGGGCGCCGTTTGTAAAGTGAAACATGCTGAAATTAACGGCAACATTTTTCCACATTTAGCTCAAAACAAGTCATTTTTT